CTGGGGAGAAAGGTATTTTAATAATGCAAATTACGTGAAAAATCATGCGTTTTTCGAACCACCAAGCATGAGAGCATGTTCTAGTACACCCCCAAAACAAAATCAAGGCTTTGTAAAATACCATAATAGGACCCCTTTAAAATATATTTGTTTTTACATAAGAAATATTTTTTCATTAAAAATTGAGAGCTCAGAAAAAAAAAAAAACATGCAAAATGGCAGACAAGGAAAAAGGTTTGATTATAAATAAACCTGTATTTGATTCAATACATAAACTAATCAATTATATATGTTATAATAAATCATATACTGTATATATATATATATATATATATATACAAAAACAATGCTAATGTGATAATTTAGGGAGGAAAGTTTTTTAATTGCTACAAAAATAATATCACAATGCAGTAATATTTATGTATTTTATTTATTTTGAAAATTTGAGCCAAATGCCTAATTTCTGACTTTTTTTTTTTTTTGATTTCGAGATGAAATACAACCTGGATATTTCTTATCATTAAATTCAAACCTAAAGTTCTCGGCATCACATGTTCGCGGTCTTACCTTCCCAACTGCATATTCTACAGAGCCGTCATCTTCAGTAGGACAGTTTTTCACCGTGTCCATGAAACTCTCATTATAAGGCCCATCTATCTGCAGTCGGTTTCTGGAGATACAAACAGGTGTTGATTACACGTTTAAGTGATTTTAAGGATGTTTGTTCAAAGATCATGTGGCAATTTTTCTGCATGGAAATCACCTAGGACCACACTGCACAGGACTACAATGTAACTGCCGTGCCTCATGACTAGACTGAAGTATATCCATTCACAAATTAGTCTTTTGCACCACCTAGTGTCTGTTCAGTCTTTCAAGGCACCATAATATAACTTAAACTTACTTAAAATAAATTGTACTATAATTTATAGCAACTCAAAACAAATTAAGATTTGCCAGCTATTCTGTATTTTTTATAAAAATGATTTCAGCACAGGATCTGCCCAACAGAAACTTTACTCAGCAGGAACAAAACATTCTTGCACAGGAGTATTGATCTGGCAGATCAGTAACGCAGCACTCAATATCCCAGATTAAAAATTCACCTTTCTTTCGGGAACTCTTCTAGATACTGCTCCACGCGTTTGTACAGAGGGTAGATTCCTTCAATATCCAGGTTATCCAGCATCTGGACTTGGAGGACTTTTGCAAGGACACTGTCTTTAGGGAGGCCGTGGTTACCTGTGAACACATGAAAATGAGCACAACGTGCTCTGCTGGTCTTGCGTAATTTCTATGCCTCAATAATCCAGCCTTTTATACACCCCATAACGTGTCATTTCTTTTCTTCAACTATGTCAAGCACTTTCGCTCCAGTTCACTCCTACGCATATATTGTGACTCATCAGTGAAGGGATTTCCATTGCACTTGTTTAGCAATATTTTGAAGGGCATAAAGCCATGTTTCTCCACTGCCGGCCATCCAAATATTCATTAGTTAGCAGTCACTGGTAAAGTCCTCACCATTGCGGAGCAGGTCTCTTGGGAAGGGACTGGCTTCACAGTGCGGCCTGCTCTCGGACAGGTGCACCTTCCTGGGCTCTCCCGAGCGATTCGAGTCCCCGCCGCTGAGCAGAGCGGAGCAGATAACCTGAATGAACTCGTTCAGGACGGCTTTGCCTGGCTGTTGGCCGTTATAGATGCCATTACTGTGAGGGAAATAAGGCCGAAGGTGCTGAATGAGATCATTCAATTCGGGTTGCTGCTTGGCATCGTCTTTACAGCTAAATATCAACTCTCCGCCCTGAAAAAAAAAGATGCGAGAAACAATTAATTAATGCTACTTTTCTATTTATCAAACATTTCTAGTGGATTAATAAACATAGTAGCTAGAGTTTAATATTTTTTAATATTTTATTTTCTTTTTCCCTTGAAAAAACCCCACCTTAAACCAGCCTAACCGGCTGGTTTGCTAGTCTTTGGTGTTTTAAGCTAGTCACAAATCCAGGTATAAAGATGGTGATCAGCTGGTCAGCAAAGCTAGTTTCCCAGCTAAACATTTGCCAATATCTCTATAAAAACAGCCTGACTTGGCAAGGAGACTAGTTAAGACCAGTAAACCAGTTTAAGTTTTTTTGTAATAGTAGCACTACTTCCAAGTTAAAGAAATGTTCTAGGATAAATATAAGATTTTAGGACCATTCACACCAAGGATGATAACTATAACGATAAACATTTTAATAATTGTTCTAATTCTATGAGAATAGGGAAGTTCACACCATAATGACATTCTAGCAAATGAACAATAAAAACATTGACAGCCAATCAGAATCCACTCAAATTTAAAAAGCTCAAGCATTTAAGACAGCAGATGGCAAAACTGCAGTGTGTGCTTATGATAAGCAGAATGTTCTCGTCCATTGGTGTGGACGAATTAAAGCACAAAACAGACCAACTGCGAATCAGTATGCATGACATCATCCCTCTCAGTTACTTTTCGAATGCTGAACATTCTGTCAACGGAAGTCGAGGGAAGATTTTCAATCTTTAATCTGAAGTGTAAAGTTCCAAAAATAGACAGCAGGCTGAAATCTGTGCGATTCGGGACCGAATTAATTACAGAAGTTCATTTTTACCTTAAAGATTTTCAAGTTGTTTTGTGGTTCCTCTAACAGATTCTTCAATGCAACATACATTCGCTGTTTGCTCCTAGAATACAAGATATTGAATAATATTCAGGTGTGTAAAATTAGTTCACTTTTGATAATGCATTTTTTTGCATCTCATTTTGATTTTGACATGACAACACAATTAGAGATTATCTGGATAACCACATCTGAATCTTGTTTTTTTAGCATTCCAATGACTCAAGCAGCAGTACAAAGCCCTCATGCATTATAGATTGTAGAGCTGTTCTCTCAGTGGAAAGGTGAGTCACAACTTTTGCGAAAATGTTGATCATCCTCCTTTTTCAAGTGGAAAATTCTTTGCTTTAACACAGGCCAGTGACGCATCCAGCTTGGTGAATGACTTTGCCGCAGTCAGTTAGGTTTGTTAACAATGCTGGCTAAAGTCCGTCGTACCATCAGCGAAAGATATAAATCCAGCTTTCCATTCCTGCATTGGGTGACTGAAGCAGTAACTCACCCTGAGAAGAGATTCAGAGGGCAATATCTGCTCAATCGCTTCCACTTCCCATTGGCTAACTGTAAAGAACAAAATAACATCTTAGGAATTTTACTGTAAACTTGTTTTTACTGTAAAGTTTACATACAGTGTCACGTAATGATGAAAGACTCTCCATTTCACTTCTAATTTGGGATTGAAACTGATTTTTGTATTTTCAGCAACATCCGAACCCCACAAAGAATCGATTATAAGATAGCGTAGAGTGCAAACAGGCAGCAGGATGTTTACACTACACTGCACCATCCCCTTTTTTTGGTTAAAGCAGAAGTTTGCTTGAAGAAATCTGGCTTCACTTCTATAAAAGTTTGGCAACAACTAGATATTCAATTGGTACTTGCCTTGTAATGCTGATGCATGCAGAATCTGCAAACTTTGCGCTTACATTCCTTGGTTATGTGCCTTGAAAATGGTAGAAATCCACATTTTGGCTAGTGGGGAAAAGGGAAAAATATGTAGTTGTATCTCTGCATCTTGAGTTGCACAATGAAGTGTTGTGAATAAGCTTTATGTAAAGAATGTTAGTTGTTTTTATGAAGACAAACAAGCCTTTCAGATCAGATTCACACCACCTTCCCCTGTTTGTTTGACTGGCCAGTGGCCATGTGATTAAATTCCACACAAATAGATTCAATGAGTCATTCAGCTACTGTGGTCTACTTCCCCAAGAGCGGGCGTTCATATTAAACTGATCCCTAAAAAAAACGTTCTTTGTTATGAGACTCAGATCTTCCAGTTTAACAACTGTCACTAATCCAACCCAAGAGTTTTTACACCCTAACGGCATGAGGATACATTAAAACTTATTAACAACTGTCAGCAAGTTCAACGACCAGACATGCTTAGACATGTGACACCAAAGTCAACACATTCAAGGCGAGTTTTTTGGCACACTTTTGCATAGTTTCGAAAGTCATTGTTTTGGAAACAATTCAGTCACTGTCATAATTTTGAGAAAAACTATGTAAATTAGGCATATAGTTTATGATTTATTTACAAAGAGATTTAATGTATGCATTTTCTTGTGACCATGGCATCGGTTATTCATTTAATGATGATCAAAAGATGGAGAAGACGGTTAAAGGAATAGTTGCCCAAAAATGAAAATTTTCTCAAAATGTACTCATCCTCAGACCATCCAAGATGAAAATGAATTTGTTTCTATATCTGCACGGATTTGGAGAAATGTAGCATTACATTACTTGCCTACCAGTGGATCCTCCACAGTGACTGGGGGCCGTCAGAATGAGAGTCCAAACAGCTGATAAAAACATCACAATAATCCACAAATAATGGAAGTAATCCACAAACTGCATGTTTGTAATCCATCATAAGACATTTTTTACTTCAAAACCATTGCTTCTGGCTAAAATATGAGTCTTCTATTCATAATATTCCTTTCACCCTTTCAAAAACCTTTCTACACAAATATGGATTTTTATGTAGGAGGACAACGCTTTTTCACTAGGAAGCTTTATTTTGGATTATGGAATGGTGTTTTGACCAGAAGTGACGGTTTAGAAGTGAAGTTGATTTGTTTCTTACAAACACGCAGCTTTTCTCATTAATCCGGCACCCATTCACTGCAGAGGATCCATTGGTGAGCAAGTGATGTAATGCTCAATTTCTCCAAATCTCTTCACATTAAGAAACAAGCTCATCTACATATTGAATGGCCTGAGGGTGAGTACGTTTTCAGCATATTTTCAGTTTTTGATGAATTATTCCTTTAAACCAAACATACATCTAAACTAGGGGTGTGCGATATCACAATTTTTGATCGTGGACAATTAAAATGTCTCCACGATCTGCTTTTGAAGAAATATCGTAGTACTCACTCTCATGTTGTCCCAAGCCCGTATTCATTTCTTTCTTGTGCTGAACACAAAAGAAGATATTTTGAAGAATATGGATAACCAAACAGTTGCTGGGTCCCCATTGACTTTGATAGTAGGGGGGAAAATACTGTGGAAGTGACTGGGGACCAGCAACTGTTTGGTTACCCACATTATTCAAAATAACTTTTATGTTCTACAGAATGAAGGAGTTCACCTTAATCTCAACGCAGATTGGAGGTCTGTGGTCTCTGAGGTGGTAGAGGGGGAGTTGGGTCAGGTTGGGAAGGCATAAACCACACCCACTGAATGTGTCCATGACCTTATCACAGCGCAGTTCTGCGTGAAGGAAAGATCACAACACCGTTACGCAACATCAAATCCGTTCTAGAAAACTGACTGTATCTCACATAATAAACATGTTTAGATGAACAACAGACTGAATTTTTTTGAGGATGAATCTCATGAATCACATATCCAAGTCAGATTTTACCCCAAAGTCATGGAAAAAATAAATGTTTTTCTGCATAATAAAAATGAAGCCTATTTAGGACATTTTTAGGACAGTTGTCATTACCATAATGGACCAGTACATTTTACTTTTGAGGTTTTTTTAATGTTGAGATTACTGTAATACAAGGATTTTGCAATCAAAATAAAACAAACACTATCATAACACTGTTGGTTTTTGGGGGGCATTACAATGTCACTGCAAAAAACTCTTGAAAATTGCAAATCGTACCAGGTCGTTCTTGTTGGACCTTCAGCGACAGCTGTCTCACAAAGTCCAGCGGTAGTTTAACAACCTCCTGTGAACATTCAAGCCATTACTTTCATCTCATTTGTTGGGTCACGGCTTGTGTTAAAGCAACATGATTTAATAATGTACACAAACGTCTTAAACTGTAACTCACTCCACTGTGAACGTATTTCTCCCCCAGTAAAGGCTTCATGACATATTTACTATAATCCACCATGTTGAGGATGTGTCGAAAAGCTTGTTCTGCGGTCTGAGAGGAAAGACGTAGGAAAATGAGCCGACACTACGCCGTAAGTCAATGCAAACAAACCAAGACCAAACATTTGATGCATATTTGCATTGTTGCAGATACTCGTACCAAGAGATGCTAAAAACTTGCAATACGGTGCAATAAAACACAGAAATAGTATGTTTAACATTAAACATTGTGCCTTTTTGTGGAAATTGTTGACAAAACTACGCTTAAAATTGAAAGTGACTATTGAAAGGTTAACAGAACTTGATCGTTTGGTCATGCATGCATCCATACTTAAGTTATATTGATGGAAATAATACAATGTCATTAAGTAATAAACACAATCCATTTTTCCAAATATTTATGCATCCGTACATTTAATGGAAAAGTCATTCTTTCCACGTTTTGAATATTGGTCACAATATCCATCCAAACAATCTTTGTCGGACGTTCAGTCTGTAACCATTTTTGTGTTATAGTTTTCCAGCTGGCTACTAATGGTATAGATACTATTAATAGATCTTTCGCCATCAAATTAGCTGCGACTAGTGTTGTCAAAAGACCCGGTATTTCGGTACCAAGTCGGTACTAAAAAAATGAAAACGTTACGGTACCAGGTTTTCTTAAGTACCGGTGGTACCGAGTACCCGGTCGACCCGGTTCTTGATGCGCTAAACGAAAGCTATCCTCTTCTAGTGTTGCCAAGTCCGCGGTTTTCCCGCGGAATTGTGGCGCTTTAACACTGTTGCCGCGGGTTGTTTATCATGACCGCGGGTTGAAAACGACCCCATTAACGTGATATTTAGCCCCTGGAATGCGAATTTTACCAGGGGAACCCCGCCAAAACATGCTTATTTTATCCGCTAGAACCGTGGATTTTCACTGGTATCGGTACCGAATACTGAAATTTTGGTACCGTGACAACACTAGCTGTGACGTTAACCAAATAAATTGTAGAGCAGTCAAATCAATCACCAAAACGGTTTTCATTACTTGTATTAACTATTTACAAGTTTTATCAACAATTTACCATCACGTTCATAGTGTGAGAAAAGGTAACTGTTATATAGTGCATATTGGAGAAATTTGGGAAGTAATAGCGTTCAGTAGTGTTTTTACCTGCCGTGTATGTGCAGAGTCTTCAGAGGGAAACTTCAGCAGACGAAGAACTCGACAGTGCTGTAATAGGAAGTGACATGTTTGAAAACAGAAATCACGCATCATTTCACAGACTTTGATCGCTGTCTGTATCCAAGTCTTAGTTTAGTTCAGAAGGGAATCCTTTGAAACAGGTTTGCCTGTGACTGTACTTGTGTGGACAACAAATGCTCCATCCACTCAACTGTGAACTGAATACACATTGTTTTTCCCAGAATGCTCTTAGACATAAAAGGTCCACAGAGGTAAAGGTGATATCATGGCAATGACGATGAACTCACTGTCCGACGGTTTGTTTTATGGACTGATGCAACCATGGGGACTTAAACGCAAATGCAGTTTCTAAACACACTTGCTCAACACTTACAAAACATACTTCTGCCTCACAAAATGTTAAACATAAAAGGATGAAGCTCATAAGTAAATGAATCAAAATTCACCTTAAAGGGGTCCTATTATGCTCTTTTACAAAGTCTTGATTTTGTTTTGGGGGTGTACTAGAACAGGCTCTCATACTAGGTTGTT